ATCACTTTCACATAGTTAATGTGTATCTATTCTTTATTTTATAATAAGAAACTACAATGAGTTACTGTAGGGAAGAAAAACAAAAAACAAGGAAATCATCTAGGGTCTTTTTACCACAATTTCATCACCTATAAAATAAAGGAATTAGGCTAATGGAGTTCTGAAAGCTGAGATTCTCTGATCCTCTGATTCAGAGTTACTGATTTGTAATTATTCAGCAGGCAGTTTACAGCACGTGTCTTATAACGGAAGTTGATGTTCTGCGAATCAACATTTTTCCAATTATTCACAATCAAAGTGAAAGACTTCATCATTCTATGTATCTCTAAATTCTGATACAGATACTTTTTTTAACTAGCTATACTAGTTTTTATTAAGTATAATTTAAAGACATGGAGGTGATTTTTTTTTATTTTAGTTAATAATATTCTTCATTTATACAGTATAATCCTTCATTTATCTTTTATGAATATCTTTTCATTGTAATTGAATTAAACAGTACAAAAAAGTGTAGAATGCGAAGGGTAAAAATCCCTCTGATACCTGCTTGCCTTTTGAAGGAAGTAATCACAATTAACAATTTGATCTGTAAATGCATATGTGAATATTAATTTCCATACTTTTTTTTCTTCAGAAATGGGATTATGCTGTATATTTTCTGTGACTTAATTTTTTTTTTTAGCAGTATCTTGGGGATTTTTCATCCATACCAGTATGTGTCTTATATCATTTTTTAAATGTCTAAATAGTATATATAACAGTATCATAATTTATTTAACTACTTGCCTATTGTTGGACATCAGTTTTATCACTATTAAAAATAATGGTACATGAACATATTTGTAAGTATTTTTATTGTGAGGAGAGAGATTCCTTTAGAATATATTTCCTATGTGAAGGATTGTTAAATCACAGGGAGCACATTGAAAATTTTGGTAACTACTGTCAAATTGTCTTCCTAAAAGCCTTTACAAATTTACATTCTCACCAGTAGGGAGTCAAGAATGTTCATTTATTCTCACCATTGCCAGAATGATACCACTGTTTTAAAGTATTTTCCAATCTGATGTTGAAAAATTATGTTTCCTTGTTTTAAAGTTGTATCTAGAATAGTTGAGCATCCTTTCATTTGTTCATTGGCCATTTTATTTCTTTTTCTATGAATTGCCTTAATTTGCCCATTTTATCTTTTTAATATTGTAAGAATTTTTGAACTGTATTTTGTGCATGAATCTTTTATTTTAAATGTTGCAAATATATTTCCCTGTCTGCTTCTTGTCTTTTAACTTTGTTTATGGTGTCTTGTGGAATGGAAATTTTCTCATTTTATGAGAGTGCCTTTATGGCTTCTGTGTTTTGTGTAGTGTTTAGGAAAGTCTTCCCCATGAAGAATTATTAAACTGGTTTTTTTTCTAGTACTTTGTACTATTGTTTCTTTAACTCCATCTGTAGTTTATTCTAAATAATTGGCCAGTTGACCCAGCCCTATTTGTTGTATAATCCATTCTTTTCTCACTGATCTGAAATGCCTCCTTTATCTTAATCTAAATCTCCATATATGTCCAAATCTATTTTTGGACTTACTATTCTGTTCTTTTTGTTGTGTTTTTCTAATCTCTTTACCGGTAATCTACTTAAAGTAGTTTACAGTAAGTACTTTTTTAAATCTGAGAGGACAGGAACATTGCCCTTCATTTATTTTTCTCAGCTATATTTCCTTTTTTTATTTATAGTTTTTTCCTCTTCCCTCTTTGTTAGCTATTACTTCTTACTGTTGCTATAACCTTATTCTGCTCTCTGCTAATTTATGGCTATTAAGTTATGTGTGAAGTAGAAAATTAGATAGCAGACTCCTGGTATTTTAGAAAAAAGAGGCTTTAAAGTGAAGAAGTGAAAAATTCATAGGAGATTGATTCATAGATAGAATGCTCATACTTTATTGTATAGAGTTTATTAAATATGTTTAGTTTCTCAGAGGCTTAGTTTTTTTTGTTTCCAGGTTCTTGGTAATATTCAAAATAGTTTATATCACTGAATATACAATTTCTCTGTAAATATTAATATATGCGAAAATTAAAACAGAAGCTATGTTTGAATCACTTCACTGAACAACTTTTTCTATTTCCACCATTTTATGTCAGTGAAAGGTGTCCGTTAATAGGGAAGCAAAGTAAATATGGCCAAGCCCATTTTTTGTTTTTGTTTTTCTTTGCTAACAGCACAATAAAGAATAAAATTGAAAAAATGTACGTAATTGAATAGACTCTTCCTATTTTAAATCAGCTATAGCAAGATGCTATTATAAGAGCAGCATCTGTTGCCATGGAACTTCTAAACTCAAGGTCAGCTTTTAAAAAAAAAAAGTCATGTCCTGCTTTATGCTTTAAAAAATAATTTTCAGTGGCCTTGGACACTATATCTTTATTATGCCTAAATTGCTGAGGTTATATGAGGAGTTTAAAGTGATCATACCTTCTGTACTGCACAATCAATAGAATATACTATACTATATTATCTAAAGGCATATGAAATAGAGAAGAAGGTATGTACAAATAAAAGTTAAGCTTTTGTGCAGTGTTCTTTTTTTTTATATTTGTGTTATTCAAATTAAGTGAATAGATTCAATATGCTTTTTTTAAAAATTTTATTTTAAGAATATAAAGAACACAACATTTGCAAATTCAACATTTTTCACACGTAAAATTCAGTAAAACTAATTAATTACATCAATCATGTTGTGCAACCATTACCGGTATCCGTTGCCAAATTTTCCATCCTCATAAACAAAAACTCTCTGCTACCTAAACAATGATTCCCCCCTTTCCCTGTCCCTCCAGCCCCTGGTAATCACTATTAAACTCTAATCTCTATACCTTTACCTATTCTAGGTAGTTCATATTAGTGAAATCATACAATATGCGTTCTTTTGTGATTGACTGATTTTACCCAGCATAATGTCTTCAAGGTTCATCCATGTTGTAGCAGGTATCAGGACTTCATTTCTCTTTATGGCAGAATAATATTCCATTGTATGTACTCACCACATTTTGTTTATCCATTCATCTGTTGATGGACATTTGAGTTGTTTCTACCTTCTGCTATTGTGAATAGTACTGAAATGAACATTGGTATACGTGTGTCTATTTATTTTGCTGCTTTCAAGTCTCCTAGGTATATACCTAAGAGTAGAATTGCTGGTTCATGTAGTAGCTTTATATTTAACTTTTTGAAGAACTGCCATACCGTTTTCCAGAGTGGCTGTGTCATTTTGCATTCCTACCAGTAATGGATGAGTTTCAATTTCTCCACATCCTAATCAACATTTGTTGTTTTCTGTTTTTTTAATTTTAGCCATCCTAGTGGGAGAGAAGTGATATCTCATTATGGTTTTGATTTACATCTCCCGGATGACTAATGACATTGAGCATCTTTTCATGTGCTTGTTGGCCATTGGTATATCCTTTTTGGTGAAATGTCTATTTAGATCCTTTGCCCATTTTTCTCATTTTTAGCTTTTGTTTTTCTGTAATATTACCTCTGCTACTATGAGTGTGTGTGTGTATTGCAGACTAAGGGAAATACTATTTCTCTTATTTCTAGGTAGGTAGATTACTTAAGGATTTCTGGCACTGCACTAAGATTTGGGCCACCTGGGAGATAGAGAGGCACCTACACTCTTTCTAGACACTTCAAGCTTAGTCTGCCAGAAACAGGACAATTAATAATATTATGATTAACATCTAGAGAGGCCAGACAGATCTCATTTGGGCAAGAAACATCCCTTTTTATGCTTGAGAGTTCCTGAAGCTTCATATATCTGTACTCAGGGGTTAGGTAGACCATTATGCTATATGAGAGGACTCACAAAGTAGATTGTCTACAGAGACGTATACTGATTGACAAACACAGTGCTTTAAAAATACCTGGATTTATGGTTTCTTTTGACAGCATGGACCCCATATTACCACATGGCAGCAACTAACCAGACAGACATGTGCTGTCCAGTTTTCCCTAGTCGACACACCTCCTTATTCTGAAGGTGCCAGTTGCCATTTATCACCATACTTGCACAGTCACCCACTTGCTCAATTCATTTATGTTACCTACCCAACTCCTTGAAGGTTTGCATTATCTAATTTACACTCATCAGTCCACTCTTCTTCTTTCTCTGTATCTGGTGCAACTGAAGAAAAAATGAGTAGATAGCAGTTTAACATGGAACAATGAACTAACTTTTTCCAGAAAAAGTTTACACATTCCCATCTTCATACTTTCGCTGTTGTAGTTTTTTTCTTCCCTGAACTATTTTGTCTACTCTTTCTTGCCTCTCCTATGTGAGTCCTACTCAGCTCAACTCCCAACATCTTGTTCTTTAATCACCTCTACAATTGTTTCTTCCTCTTCTAAAGCAATAGAATACTTATTTTCTCCACCAGTTATTTACCATTTATTATAAAGCCTTGGAATTTTGGAGATCACGGAGACCTAAGAGATCATCTTAGTCACACCACTTTTATTTTACATATGAGAATGCAATACCCATAATAAATTCTTTTAAATTTATTATAGTGAGATTTAGAGAGTCTCATTCAGTTAAAGAATGGTCTGTAACCTTAGGGGACAGTGAAGTTATGTTAATGGGGGAGGAACAACTTAAAAAAAGAGGGTGAGAATGATTGCACAACTCTAAGAATGTAAGCAGTGTCACTGAATTGTACATGTAGAAACTGTTGAATTCGTGTATGTTTTGCTGTATATATTCTCAACAACAAAATAAAATTAAAAAAAAATAATAATAAAATAAAGAGTGGTTTGTGTTCCTGTGAAGAGGGCTTTGATTAGTCTTTTCTCCATTTGGTTCACAGTTCCTTTTTCAGAGAAATACATATATAGTTGTCATTTTGAAGATTAAGAAAGTAGTAACTTTAGTTTTGATTTCCCTAGTTTTCTTAATTGGTCTTCAGACATTAAATTTAAATATTGTTTTCTTTGCCTTTCAGTTACAGATGAAGACACAGTAAAGAGGTATTTTGCCAAGTTTGAAGAAAAGTTTTTCCAAACCTGTGAAAAGGAACTTGCCAAAATCAACACATTTTATTCAGGTGAGTGGTCTTTTTGGTATAACATAAAAGAGACAGTTTTCTGCTGGTAGGGAAGGAGAAATTCTACCATGCATTGTTTAAACTTCTGGTCAACTTTTTTTTTATTGAGACATGATTTCCTTGCTGTACTGCATTTAAGGGATATGTTGTTTAGCTGGGCTAGTAACATATCTGGTATCTCAATATCTGAGTCTTATGTGGTCATTGCTTAGATTCTCTTGTAGTAACAAGGATTTCTAGGCCTCTTTGTGAAGCAGTACCTTGTTAGAGCTTCACATTCCACGGCCCAGTCAGAAGATTTAAAGAGTCAGAATCTTGATTTCATCATCTTATTCAGAGCTGAATTATACAGTTCTGACCTGTCAATTGTGTCAATTTTATGTCTCTCCATATGTGTTTCTCTAGAGCAGTAGTCTCCAGAATGGAATCTACAGGATGCCATTGGAGTGCGAGAAGAAAATGTTAGAACTTCTGTTGATTTATGTCTGACCCTTTTAAGTTTTCTGTTTATATATGTGTATATATGTTTATATACCCACATATATTTGTATGTTGTAATATATACAATATATATTAGTAAAACAGCACATATGAATAATGTATAAATAATTATATTAGAGATACTTGTTCAGAATTTTTATTGATAAATCTTCATAATGAAAAGTTTTGGAAACACTGCTCTAGAGCACTATCTTCAGCATCAAGATTCCTACAAAATCTCCCATTTCCGGTCATATACCCAAAAGACTTGAAAGCAGAAGCACAAAAAGATACACGTACACCAGTGGTCATTGCGGCACTATTCACAATAGCCAAAAGATGGAAACAATCTAAATGTCCATCAACAGACGAATGGAAAAACAAAATGTGGTACATACATGCAAAGTATTACTCTGCCATAAAGAGAAATGAAGTCTTGATACATGCTACAGCATGGATGAACCTTGAAAACATTATGCTGAGTAAAATTAGTCAATCACAGAAGGACAATTATTGTATGATTTTACTAATATGAAATACCTAGAATAGGCAAAAGTATAGAGATTAGAGTTAGATTCAGAGGGACATTTCATCCAGACTCAGAAAAAAACCTTACACATAATCCCTGTTATAATATTGAATTTACAACTTAATGATTAGAATACTTATTAGATGTATCTATTCCTTGAGAAATAATGGATAAACAAAAATTCTTACCCTATAATTTTTTATATTTAATATCAAAAATATAGAAGTATTCTATATACTTTTCCTTATATTTGATATGCAAATTACATTCCTACTGTTAATATATTGTTAAAGGAGATTTTAATTTTTTATTCTGTCAATAAAGATAAATGAGACTATATCCTCATCTTTGGTAAAGACTTTGGAAATACTATAATCTTATTATTAGCCTAATCATAAACCAAATGTAAGTGCAGGTTAATCTAAGGGTGAATAGTTTTATAAGGACTTTACTAGCTTCTTTTTCAGAGGATGATTTTTTTCCCTAATTTGTCCACAGATTCTAGAAGTATCTTATTTACATTTCCTTTCTCTGCAGACCTCTCAAACGAAAGCTGATAATTCTCTTTTTTGACATAGTGGGAGATAGGAGGTGGGGGGAAGGGAAAACAGTAAGAAAGAGCTACTAGAAGATGAGAGGCTGAGTCCAGCTTTCTCTTAGCTCCTCATTGTTCTTTTGCAAATCAATATTGTTACATATTCCTTAAAAATGGCTCTTCTTCTAAGCATCCAGTATGCAATACAGCATTCTACTCACTGCCACTCCTAACTTTTTGCATCTACTGACCTCTTTGTCGCTCATTTAGAGCTTAAACACCTGCCTCCCTGTCTAAATCTCCACCTTAATTTTTTGTATCACCCTGGATGACTTCAGTGTCCATGTGAGACAGCCCATTTTCAGTTCCACTCCACTTTGGATACATACTGCCATCACCATATCCATTACCCAGAACTGTTCACCTCTAAAATATTAAATTCTAAAATATGACCACATCTCCCAGCCTTTAAGCTTTTTACCCCCATAGTCTTTAACATCTCTTTCCATCTCACAGAGCTCAAATGCCTTGACTTATTCATTTTATTTCAGTCTGTCATGCCCTCCCAGATTTACTTCTTTTCCATCAATTGTTTTAACCACTTCGTCCATTTGTGCTTTCAACACCTTTATCCTCGTTGCCGTGTATTGCTTCTGCCTAGCAAAACTCCAGCTATGGATCAGCCCAGTTTTTTACCTTCTTAATGCCTACCTTCAGCACTACTTAGGACACTAGAAAAAAATGACAAAGCAGCACAAATTGCAACAATTATAAATTCATCATTGTATAGTTAACTATGCCCTCAAAACTATCTGTGGATTTTAATCGGCACCCTTTTCTGTGTCCGTAATGCTTTTTTAAGCCTTACACCATTCTCCTCAGTTCTCTAATCCTGCCATCTTCCCCATCATGCTTATTATACCCTCTATTTTACAAGTAAAAATAAAGGCCATCAACTCCTGATGATGTAATAACACTTATGCAGATCTCTGCCACTCCCTCCCCACCCCCCCAAAAAAACCTATAGCCATTCTCACGCCTATTTATTTCCCCTCAGTCTTTGTGGACAAGGTATCCCTCTTCAGTCCATAGCAAATCTCTACAACTATTGACTCAATTCCAGCTTCTTTAGTAATTATTTTCTCTAAGACTTATTGAATAAATGTATCTTTAACTTCTCTTCTTTTTGGTCCAGTCTCCTTAGCAAGTCACTCCCTTCAGACAAAAAACAAACAAGTAAGCAAGCAAGTTTCTTGACTCTGTATCCTCTCCCTCATCTTCCATTTTTGGCCAGACTTCTTCCTACACAGAGGGAACAGTTTAGGCAAAGGCACAGAGCCATGAAATTGCATGGCACATATGCAGGTCTTTTTCCCTAGATTACTAGCACCTAAAGGCAGAGACAACATAGAAATATTTTTTGAAACCATGCAAATGGATAGATTTTCTACAAGGGAGAAATGTAGAGAAAGAATTGCAATTTTCCAAGGACAAAGATAATTTCCACAATTAAGAATTAGCAGGATAAAGAAGAACCAGCAGTGCAGACAAAGAAGAAGCGGGCAATCATGTAGAAGGAGGAGGATGCTAAAAGAGGAGGGTATTTTGCAATGGAAAAGGATGTTTAGAATGAGAAAAGGCTATTGGATATGATCTAGGGCTGTAAATAAAATTATAAGGTCAAGTTTATTAGTATTTTTCTTATACTATGATTTTTGGGGGGAAGTTCTTTAAGCCCAACTCTAAATGAATTTAGATCACAAAGAACAGGTAATGCTTTCTGGTTTACAAAGAAGAATATATATCTGCTCTCAGTAGCAGGTGCATACTTTTTTATAATTTGATACACAGTAAAAAAAAAAAAAAAAACATATACATTATGACCCAGTACACATGTACAGATAGATGTGTGTTTTATGTATGTTTGTACGTATCTATATGTGTATGTATATGCAATGTATTTAAATAACTAAGAAATATTTTCATAAAAGAATACTAGTACTACTTGTGATATACTCTATTTTCTTTATTTTTCCATTTCTGTGTCATTTTTTAAGTGCTGTTACGGTCTACTAAATAGATTTCATAACCCACTATTGGGTTGCAACCATCAGTTTGAAAAGTAGTGTCTTAGAATGTGTGTCTTGGTCACTTCTCGGATATAATTTTAGGCTTGCTATTAATTGAAAATTGGAAGGCTATGATTTAATGAGGAGTCCCTGGGTGGCGCAGATGGGTTAAGCACTTCGCTGCTAGCCGAAAGGTTAGTAGTTTGAACACTCCCAGAGGCACCTCGGAAGACAGGCCTGGTGATCTGCTTCTGAAAGGTCACAACCTTGAAAACCCTATGGAACAGTTCTACTGTACACACAGGAGATTGCCAAGAGTTGGAATTAAAGGCAACGGACAACCACAACGATTTAATGACTTGCCTTTTTCTGTGTATATTGTCAGGGCCATTGGGCTATGTCTCTTGATGTCATCACAGAGTAGTTACAAATTGATAATCTCCAAACTGATTTTTTGCCAGGTTTGGAAGTAATGGGTAATATGAAGACCTGATGGACAGAAATAGAATTTGGCATTTGTCCTAGGCAGTATCGTTTTTCTCCTTATTTAGGCTTCACCAAAGCAGATTGTCTGGTAGAGTGCAATCCTCAGACACTAGGGCACATGAAAATCTATAAATAATACAGGGGTGTGTTCAGTCATAAACCCACCTCTACCCACCTGTATCTCACAGATTATTTAATGGTTAGCGAAAAGAGGGTGGTTGAGGACAGATTGGAACTGAAAATAAGAATCTATTACCATTCAGTTTTTGAGTAAGACATAGTTTTTACTGGAGCCTTTTAAATACCCTAAACAAAATGCTATGCTCTTGTATTGTGCCTATGTCTAGTTACAACAAAAAAGCCAAACAAACAAACAAACACAGCACAGAATGAATGCTACTCAAATTGGGCCGTTTTTTTCATACCAGTTCTGTTAACTACCAGTTACATTTTGGATTTTTCAACCTTAAATATACTGTTTAATTTCCTAGGCCTCGGTGTACTTGCTTGTAAAATGAGCAGATTGATTCCCAGTCCTCTAGGGTTCCACATGTGAGGAGTCAAGCTATCTTCAGTATTTCAGAAAACCTGATATAAGTTATTTCATTTCTCTTTGTTTTTTATTATATATTTTGGGTTAACAAGAAATGGGCAAACAAATGTTTATTTCTTTAGATTTATGGATAAAACCTTTTACTATTTGGAGACCGTGGGAGGAGAGGGAAATTTTAAGAAAAGAAAAATCCTTTTTGGTGGAATCATTGCTAATCAAGTAGAAATCTTGCAGGTCTCTTCTAGCACTAGAAACAGTATCAATCCTGAAGGCAATAGTGTTTGAAACCTTTTTTGTGTTGACCAGTAATCCTTTTCTAGTGAGAGATAGTGGTAACTTCATGTTATA